CCCCTGGCGCGCGCGCGTGTAGGGTTCGTCTGTGGAGCGTGGGTGGGATTGGAGAGGAGGGGATCTCCAGCCAGGAAGGGGAGGGGAGGGGAGGGGAGTGGCGGTGGCGCCGGTGGCAGAGTGGATGCGGTCGCCAGCGGCTGGTTGTGGGGATCCAGATCATGGGGACGGCACCATTCGTGGGGGACGGCGGCGGCGCGTCGGTAACGAGGTGAGGGTGTGTGTTGAGCTGGTTGGTTTTGTTGGGTGGTGAGGCCATGAACGACGGCGAGCTCCGCCGGAGGGAGGTGGCGGCAGCGGCGATGGATCTGGAAGGGAGGAGGCGAGCTCTCTCCACGAGGCAGCGAGGAGACGGGGGATCTGGAATGGGATCAATGGATGGATGTGGAAACTGGGAAGAAAGGAGGCAGGGTGGATGCAAAATGACCATCTAGGGTTTCGGGGTTGTTGTGGAAGGGTTGAGGACAGCCGTTGGATCCGCGAGCATCCGACGGTGTTTGATGCATGATTCGCGTGATACGTCCACGGACCAATCAGAATGCAATACGACGTTATGACCATCTAAATTGGTCGTAGTTGACTAAAAATAATTTTTGAGTGTCCAAAATGAGTTTTTTTTGTGAAGGATCTACCATATATTTGTTGTAAAATTGGTCCAAATCAATTTTCGAAAATACTAGGCCATATTTAATGCATAATAGGCCACATGGTTGGGTGTCAAAAACTTTTATCCATCTCTCGTAAAAAAGACAAATTTCTGCCGATTCAGCAGGAAGCGGATCACATTTGAGCTGCGGCTGCCTCATAGTTTGCTATTTATTTTTCCCACAAATCATTTCTATGTACAAAAGTATCTATTTAATCAGAGAAACACCAAAAGTTTTCCAAGAGTCAACCACTAGCTAGGAACGGTCATGCCCGCATTTTGACTGCATTTTGAAACGGGCATGAAAAATTCAAAAAAAAACAAAAAAAGGAAAACCTTCCTGTTGTGTCATTATATGTGGCCAAGTTACCAGGAAAAATAATAAACTTGTAATACGATAATTTTTTTAAAAAAGTGGTCTCATAAACGAGCTATCATGTGTGGAGATCAATGGCATTCAAGCCAAATGATCAATCTTATGCCCACATTCATGGCATAGTTTGTTAAAATGATCTCATATAGTGCACAAGTGCATATTGGAATGGCAAACAATGTTGCCTAAGGAAGTTTTCATTTTTTTAAACGAAAAAATCATTTTCCATTTTTCGAGAGCCCAAAATGAGGTTTTTTTTGTGGAGGACCTACCATATATTTGTTGCAAAATTGGACCAAATCAATTTTCTAAAATAATAGGCCATATTTAATGCACAAATGATCAAATGGTTGGGTGTAAAAAGATTTGATCAACCTCTGGTGAAAAAGACAAACTTCTGTCGATTCAGTAGGAAGCGGGTCAAATTTGAACTACAGCTGCCTCATAGTTTGCTCTTTATTTTCCCAAAAATCATTTCTACGTACATAAGTATCTATTTAGTCAAAGAAACACCAAAAAAATCCAAGATTCAACCACTAGCTAGGAACGATCAAGCCCGCCGTTTTGACCGCATTTTGAAACGGGCATAAAAAATTCAAAAAGAATCAAAAAAATTGGAAAATCTTCACATTGTGTCATAGTATGTGACCAAGTTTCCAGGAAAAATAATAAACTTGTAATACGACAAATATTTTTAAAAAGTGTTCTCAGAAATGAGCTATCATGCGTGAAGATTCATGGCTTTCAACCCAAATGCTCAATCTAATGGCCACATTCATGGCATAGTTTGTTCAAACGATCTAATATTGTGCACAAGGGTGCATATTGGAATGACAAACAATGTTGCCTAAGGAAGTTTTCATTTTATTTGGACGAAAAATTCAGTTTCCATTTTTTGAGTGCTCAAAATGTTTTTTTTGTGAAGGAACTACAAAATAATTGTTGCAAAATTGGACCAGATCATTTTTCTAAAATATGAGGCCATATTTAATGCACAATTGACCAAATGGTTAGGTGTCAAAAGCTTTTATCCACCTCTCGTGAAAAAGATAAATTTCCGCCGATTGAGGAGGAAGCGGGTCAAATTTGAACTGCGGCTATCTCGTAGTTTCCTCTTTATTTTTTTTAAAAATCGTTTCTAGGTACTTAAGTATCTAATTAATCAGAGAAACACAAAAAAATTCCAAGATTCAACCACTAGCTATGAACGGTCATTCCCGCCGATTTGACCGCAATTTGTAATGGGTATATAAAATAAAATAAAAATCAAAAAATTAGAAAACCTTCGCATTGTGTCATTATATGTGACTAAGTTACCAGGGAAAATAATAAACTTGTAATACGGCAATTATTTTTAAAAAGTGTTCGCAGAAATGAGCTATCATGTGTGAAGATTCATGGCTTTCAACCCAAATGCTCAATCTTATGGCCACATTCATGGCATAGTTTGTTCAAATAATGTAATATTGTGCACAAGGGTGCATATTGGAATGACAAACAATGTTGCCTAAGGAAGTTTTCATTTTCTTTGGACGAAAAATTCATTTTCCATTTTTCGAGTGCTCAAAATGGTTTTTTGGTGAAGGAACTACCAAATAATTGTTGCAAAATTGGACCAAATCATTTTTATAAAATATTAGGTCATATTTAATGCATAATTGACCAAATGGTTGGGTGTCAAAAGCTTTTATCCACCTCTCGTGAAAAAGACAAATTTCCACCGATTCAGGAGGAAGCGGGTCAAATTTGAACTGCAGCTACCTCGTAGTTTCCTTTTTATTTCTTTAAAAAATCATTTCTAGGTACTTAAGTATCTATTTAATCAGAGAAACACAAAAATTTCAAGATTCAACCCCTAGCTATGAACGGTCATTCCCGCTGTTTTGACCGCATTTTGTAACGGGCATAAAAAATTCAATTTTTTTGGAAAACCTTCGCATTGTGTCATTATATGTGACTAAGTTACCAGGAAAAATAATAAACTTGTAATACGGCAATTATTTTAGAAAGTGTTCTCAGAAATGAGCTATCATGTGTGAAGATTCATGGCTTTCAACCCAAATGCACAATCTTATGGCCACATTCATGGCATAGTTTGTTCAAATCATCTCAGATTGTGCACAAGGGTGCATCTTGGAATTGCAAATAATGTTGCCTAAGGGAGTTTTCATTTTCTTTGCACGGAAATATCATTTTCCATTTTTCGAGTGCCCGAAATGAGGTTTTTTTTGAAGGAACTACCAAATAATTGTTGAATAAATGGACCAAATCAATTTTATAAAATACTAGGTAATGTTTAATGCACAAGTGACAAAATGGTCGGGTGTAAAAAATTTGTATCCACCTCTGGTGAAAAAGAAAAATTTCTGCCGATTCAGTAGGAAGCGGGTCAAATTTGAACTGCAGCTGCCTTATAGTTTGCTCTTTATTTTTTCCAAAAATCATTTCTAGGTACATAACTATCTATCTAAGCATAAATACATGGTTTGGTGGTGATACGTTGAGGTTTGGACGGTGGCCTAGGGCCCCAACTCCAAAGCGCGTAGACTCGCATGGCCGCCGCGTGGTCACCGTGTGACCGTGGCGTTGCCATGCGTTCTGGGAAGCCTAGGAAAGTCTAGTAGGTTTGGTACTCCCCAGGTAGATGCTTCGAAGAAAATAACAACAGAAGAATCTCATGAGGAGACCGAACTATGCTCAAACATGAATTAGCAGCCAAGTTTTTGATTTGCGGTACAGGAAATTCACAAGGCCAATGGGCCTGCGTTTGGCCGAGGATGATCATATACTCGGGAGACTGTCTTGGCAAATTTTCAGCTCAAATGGAGGAGTTTAGATGGCACTTGCTTTACAATGTGCCAATCTGGACAAAAAATAAAAATTGAAGTTGGGCTCACATAGATGATTTGATTGACCTGCAATTTGGAGGAGGGTGATAATTTGGGCATATGAAGGCACTGTATAAATTTCATGCCATTTGGATGTGCATAGCTAGTACTTCCTTCACAATGCTTCTAGGTGGACAAAAACTTTGGAAATTTGCCGAGGAAGATTTACTAGGCAAATGGAGCTGAATTTTGTCATGAGGCAATGGTTTGGATAGGAAAGAGTGCCCAAATTTTTCTAGGGCAATCAAGAATATAAAAATAGCACTTCCTTCACAAAGTGCTGTTATGAACAGAATAGGAAAATGAATATTGTTGAACTATATTTTAACTAGGCAAGGAAGGTTTTTGACATATTTGACGAAGATATGACCCAAAGAATTTATGAGAATTTTCTTGGAATTTTGGGACGAACAGAAATATAGGTTGCTTCACAACCTAGGGCAAAAATTGACACATGAACATGACACATAGGCAAAACTGATGAGGTGGCGCCTAGTCATAGCAATCCACCACAACTTACAAGGTTATGACTATCTATATTGGTCATGACCAGCTAGAAATAAGGCAGCGGATCATCGTTGTCTGCTTTATGACCTTTTCGTGTAAGGAAATTATGACCTTTCTGACAAAAATGGTCGTTATAGTATAGGGTTTGGAGCCCCCCGAACAGCTTTTGACCAATTGGCCTCA